GATTGATAATTTATCTTAATTTTAAATGGACTGTCTACCCTTATCCTAAATCTTATTAAAAAATTTATATACGTCACTTAAAATAAAGCATACCAACACTACTACAACCGTAATGATTTCAGGCTTATTGCGCTAATATCTTTTTAGGCTATTCAACTTGTATTCTTTTAAAAAGGTTTTAATTAATTGCATTCTCAACAGTGATGATTGGGTATAACAATTATATCATTGTACACTTTTATTTCCAACTGAACACCATTGATAGGTCTTTTAGAGCACTAATTCAATCAGAAAGCGAGGGTCCCAAAAGAGTGAAGGTACCCTATAACATTACAAAAGACACCAAAATGGAGTTTGTCATTATGAAATCTTAATAAGAGTACAGCTTTTGGAGAAACTCTACCCTATCATCACATGCTTTACTATTCCCTCATGGTTAAAGTAAGAAAGTGACAACCAAACCAAAAGAATGTAAATAAATCAAATCAAAACGGCAGAGTCCCCCCTTTCTATTTGATCGTGATTCATTAACCACTTTATGCGTTTAAAGTGGACTAATATCGACAACTGAACAATGTAGTTTAATTTACAGAAATTAAAAATAACCTTTACTAGCCTAGGAATTTAATTAGCATATGTTGATCAAGTGTATTTTTTACATGGTCATCTAATAATGATTATCACTTATGCTAATATTATTTTCTTTGTAATTATTTTATAAGTTATATCTAAAATGATTTTTAATTTACTAACAGTATATATTGATAGAGTTATGATGTAATGTTTGTCTTATAGAAATATATTTATCAAGAGAAGAATTATATATTATTATTTTATTGATTATTTACATCCAACTCATTAATGGTAAGATATTGTTTATTTGAATTTATAATTTCGTAATTTTGCTTTTAATCATCATTTAAAAGACTTTTTTTTGATAAAATATATTTGTGTTTCATAAATTTTTTATTTCCTCTCATATTTTAGCGATATGAAATATTGTTTGTATTCCAACACACACATATATATATATATAAGGAGAGATCAAATGTCACTAATATAACTATTACACTGTTCAATAACTTTCAATCAAATCATTATCTTTTAAAACTTATTGTTAGATATATATACAAAATTCTATTTAATCTGAGATCATTTGATATCTCATTCATATAAATCAAAATTTTCATAATATATACATTTCAAAATATATTAAAATATAATAACTTTGATTACCATCAAATTGTTGCTCAATTTTAACAAAATTCACATTAAATTGAAAGGTGTAATAGTTAATAAAAGTTATATTAATGTCATTTAATCTCTTTCACACACATACACACACTTATATATATATATATATATACACATATATATACATATATATATATATATATACATATATATATACATACATATATATATATATATATATATATGAGGAGGGTTCAAACGACACTGGTGTAAC